GGAGTTCGCCAATACTAGTCCAGGATTCAACTGCCTGTCTCTCATGCCCTCTGGATAAGAAAGGAACTTGAGGCAGTTGAGGTCCATGTGTATGAACTTTGTATGTTTCCTACAAGATTAACATTTTACAGAAGCAGCTTTTTCTGTTCAAGTTAGACCACATTCATCAGTGACCTCAAACTCAGTTTCGATTTCTCCCTCCCTTCCAAAAACAGGAAAGTAATAGATAAAATCTATGGGATATAAAACTGAAACTTGTGAGCACAAACAGCAGTGTGGCGTTTGCCAAAGGGAAAGGGGTGAGGGAAAAAGGGAGTCCTAACATATGATGACAGGAGATTTTATTTTGGGTGGTAGGCACATGGTACAATAAACAGATCTTATAACAGAGAAACCCACACCTGAAACCTATATGATCATATTGACCAATGTCACCCCAATAAATTGAATTTTTTAAAGTTTCTAAAATAGGATGAATTAAAATTCTAAGCAAGGTTACAGGCAGAACTTCCTTTTTTTAATTAAAGAGACAGCCCTATGTGCACTTAGTGGTTATCTCGATGCTGGCCTTGAAAAACAATGCTGTTCTATCCAATTAAAAAAAAAATGCACCTGGCATGGTATTGAGATTGTGGGCATATCTGGTTTCTGGCCTGTAAGGTCAGACAGCTAAGTTTATCTTCATCATTCTTCAAACTGGGCTACAGCAAACTAGAAAGCAACATTTTATCTAGGAAGAACAGCAGAAAATTCCAAACAACAGTTTGTTGCAGAATGGGGTTTTCCTTCTCAGAACCTTTAAAAATAACTACTTTCCCCTAAAGCAGCGCAGTCGTGTAGGGTCCGCCTGCGTGTGGTACTCTTGCGGTTGCCCTGGCCAGTTCAATAAATTCTTGTTTGCTTTTTTTAATAAATTATCAGCCTCCGGTGATCTTATTTTAAACCCAGGGTTCGACCCCACAACAAAAGTAAATTTTGTTTAAAACTTTTTAACTAAATAAATATATGGTTTTTACTTATATATGGAATCTAATGAACAACATAAACAAACAAAATTGAAACCAGATACTACGAACAGACTGGTGGTTACAAGAGGGGAAAGTGGTTGGGAAATTGGGTGAAAAAGGTGAAGGGATGAAGAGGTACAAGTTGGTAGTTATGAAATAGTCACAGGGATATAAACTATATCATAGAGAACATAGTCAATAATCTATAATAATAAAAGCATAATATGCTGATTAGACCGGACATCCTTCCAGATGTCCTTCTGAATGACCTTTCAGATGAAGCCAAGGCTGCGAGTACCAGAGGGAAGCTAGTGCTGGCACCCGGGGGGAAGGAAGGCCTACTCATGCACAAATTTCATGCACAGGGCCTCTAGTATTCTAATAACTATGTACAGTGCCAGGTGGGTACTGGGAATAGCAGAGGAATCTCTACTAAAAATATTTGTTCGTGTAAGCACTATGATGTATACCTGAAACTAATACAAAATAATATCGAGGGTAAACTGTAATGCAAAATAAAATAAGAATCGTGGAGGGAAGGCGGGGGAGGGTAGGTGGGTGGGTGGGAGGTAATCAACCAAGGATTTGTATGCATATATGCATGGCCCATGGACACACAGACATTGGGGCTGTGAGGACCTGGGAGTAAGGCATGCTGGACTGGGGGGGGGGGGGGGAGGACAGGGGGGAAAAAGACATATGTAATATTTTCAACAATAAAGAATTATTTTTTTTTATATTTTATTGATTTTTTACAGAGAGGAAGGGAGAAGGATAGAGAGCTAGAAATGTCAATGAGAGAGAAACATCGACCAGCTGCCTCCTACACACCCCCCACCGGGGATGTGCCCGCAACCAATGTACATGCCCTTGACCGGAATCGAACCTGGGACCTTTCAGTCGGCAGACCAACACTCTACCACTGAGCCAAACCAGTTTCGGCAAAGAATTATTTAAAAAAAAAAAAAAAAAAAGAAAGAAAGAAAGAAAGAAAAGAAAAGAAAAGAAAAGAAAAGAAAAGAAAAGAAAAGAAAAGAAAAGAAAAGAAAAGAAAAGAAATAATACACCCTCGGAAAATCCAAGATGGCTGCTCGGGTAGGCACCTAGCCGCGCCGCACACAACAATTTCAACAAAATACAACTAAAATATAAAATGGACATCACCCAGAACTACAGGAAAGTTGACTGACTGGAAATTCTAAAACGAGAAGCAAGGAGAAAACCAGAAGGAAGCGCGGAGGAGCTGGAAAAGCCTAAGGTACGGAGACACGCAGCACGCGCGGAGAGGACGGAGCTGGAGAGGAGGGAGGCGGAGTGCCTGGCGGGCGTTCCCTGGCGGGAAGGAGATAAACGCTCCAACTGTGCTGGCCCCCATTCTGACTGCTCTGAACCCCAGGCCTAGGCCAGACCCCAGGGACCCAGGCTCACACAGAGGGAGCCGGGCTGAAAGGCTGAACCCCGGGGAAGAGGCGAAAGGAGGTCCCGGCGGCGCCGCGCAGAGAAGGGACGGTTGGCTGTGCCGCGGGATTGCCTGGCGGGAAGGAGACAGGGGCTCCAGACTGCTCTCAACGCCACCTCCAACTCCACTTCCAACTGAACTGAACCCCAGTTTCGGGACCATTGGGGGAGAGACTAGTCTGTTTGGTAGCAGGCGAAAATCGAGGGCGCCTTTCTCTCAGAGGCGCTTACAACAAGTACTGAAGGACCCTGAGACTCAGGAGTCGCATAGGGCGGGGCTGACGAAAGCCAAAGCTGTAGGCTCCACCCTGAAACCCTGCCCCATCAGGAAAGCTGCCTGCGAAAATGCCTAAACCAAATAGATCACAAACAAAAGAAATGGAGGACAAAAAGCGACTGGATAAAGAGTTCAAAACCACACTTATAAGGTTTTTCAAGAGTTTCCTAGAAAAGGCCGATAAAATAAATGAGACCTTTGAGGATATGAAAAGGGATCAACAAGAAATAAAGAATACATTGTCTGAAATAAAAACTATTATACAGAGTCCTAAAAACAGAATAGAAGATCGCAAGAATCAAGTCAAAGATTTGGAACATAAAGAGCCAGAAGATACTCCTCTGCAGAAGCTAGAAGGCAAGAGAATCCAGAAAATTGAGAATCAAGTCAAAGATTTGGAACATAAAGAGCCAGAAGATACTCCTCTGCAGTCGCTAGAAGGCAAGAGAATCCAGAAAATTGAAGATGATGTAAGAAACCTCTGGGACAACTTCAAACAATCCAACATCAGAATTATGGGGGTCCCAGAAGATGAGAGAGAGCAAGATATCGAAAACATATTGAAAGAAATAGTGACAGAAAACTTCCCCCACCTGGGGAAAGAATTGGACTTACAAGTCCAGGAAGCACACAGAACTCCAAATAAAAGGAATCCAAAGAGGACCACACCAAGACAAATCATAATTAAGATTCCAAGAGCAAAAGACAAAGAGAGAATATTAAAAGCAGCAAGAGCTAGGCAGATAGTTACCTATAAAGGAGCACCTATACGATTGTCAGCTGACTTCTCAACAGAAACCATGCAGGCCAGACGGGAATGGCAAGAAATATTCAAGGTGATGAATAGTAAGAACCTACAGCCAAAGATAATCTATCCAGCAAAGCTATCACTCAAATTTGAAGGTCAGATAAAGAGCTTCACTAATAAAAAAAAAAGCTAAAGGAGTTCATCACCACCAAACCAGAATTATATGAATTGCTGAAGGGGGTTCTTTCAGAAGAGAAAGTAAATAAAGATAAAAATTATGAACAAATACGTAACTATCAACAAGTGAATCTAAAAACCAAGGAAATTAAAAAAAAATCTGATGACAATATTAACTGTTGAATATAATAGAATCAGAGGTATGGAAGGGGAGTGAACTGATGATTCTTGGGGAAAAGGGGAGAAGGGGATGTGGGAAGAGACTGAACATAAACTGTGCACCTATGGATGAGGACAATGGGGGGTGGGGAAAGGGCAGAGGGTGGAGTGGGAAGGGACATTTGTATTAATATGAACAATAAAAATTAAGAAAAGAAAAAAAAAAAAAAAAAAGAAATAATACACCCTCACAGACATACTTGGAATAATATTTGACTAATTAATTATATGTGCACCCCCGTGGCCCAGTCAAGTTGACACATAAAATTAACTAACACAAATTGTTTTAATAGGATCTCCCCAAGATCCAAAACAATGGATGCAGCTCTTACAGTTGAAGCCTAGCCTATAAAACTTACCCTCTTTGGGGAGCAGTGATGTGATAAAGGGACACATTATCAGATTTTGGAGTTAAATTGATCTGGATTAAAATGCCCCATCTCAGATACTTTCTAGTTATTGGAATTTGGATAAGTGAATTAACTTCATAATTTCCTTACCCACAAAGCACGATTTGTCACAGGTTGTCAGGGAAACATGTTTGTGGTGTGCTCGTCACATATATAAGCATTTGATACATCATATCTATTATCATTAGTAATTCCCTCAGGATTTACATAAACAGCATTGTTCGAAAAAATAATTATTTTGCACTTAGTACTTTAGTTAACAAAGAAAATTGTTTGTAGATGGAAGGTGAAGCAAAGTTGCTTGAATGTAGTGTTTTTAAGGTGTGTTCAGTGTTCTTTTAAAATCACCAAAGTGTATCCGTAATTTTAAATACAGTTTTGAAAACCCAACCAGCCTAAGATATTAATACTGTATATGCCCCATGTCCCTCTGTTATGCGCTTTGATTTTGAGAGACGCTGAGTCTACACAGGGTGTCGGGAGTATCAAACTTGGCAAAACAAGGACACAGGACGTCTTCACTGATGGACAACAAATTGTTCCCTCTTGATTACAAAGTGTTCCCTATTAGGTCATGCCAATTTGGAGACTGATAAAAACGTGGTGTTGGGACTACTTGCAGAGCGTTTTAATTTGGCTGCATAGAACTTGATGTGCCTGTTTGGGGCATACATTCATTATGGCCCCAGTGAAAAGAACAAAAAATGCTGACCAGAGAGCAGATAGAACATTGTTTATCACATTATCCTGGCACCCCCTTCCATCTCAGCAGAGCTGGACCAAATGATCCCAGCTTAATTATAATGGGCATGGCTGTAAACCCAACCCTAGAAATGCATCTGGGGGGTAATAGTCTCAGAAATGGGGTCACAGCAGAGCCAGGCCTAAGTGAAGTTATGCGACAATGTTTGTTGCCTGTTGGCGATCTTTATTTCCTCTTCTTATACTGTTTTTCTTTTTTCTTTTTTTCAGATCAACTTCCATTATATAAATCTTCCTTTTCTGCGTTCTGTCTGTAAAATCAGGAAAATAAAAATTACTTCCCAAGCTGAGTAAGGATTAAATAAGGTACCATCTATAGTGAACCAGTATTACCAACACTTTTAGCTGTTTCATAGTGAGATCAATACCATTAACTTTTCCATTTCTCTCATAAGATTGTTAGCTTCTGAGGGCTTGGAGGTGCCTTGTGTCTGGCACTGTGGCAGGCACTGAGGAGGATGGACGGATGGATGGATGGATGGATGGATGGATGGGTGGATGGATGGTAGACCATGGGAGAAGTGGAGAAGTAGATATTTTGAGACCCACTATTTTGCTGAATGTGTCATCCTTTACCCATTCTCTGCTTGGATAGTCCTTATGACCATAGGTGAGAAGCACAATTTTCTTTCTTGATTGACCAACAAATGGACAGTTTAGGTGAAGTTTTCATCCCATTACTGTGGGAAAGACAGTTTGCAAGCCCCCACCCCCCTTTTTTGGCCTACCATAAACCAAAGTTAGTGCTCTGAAGCAGGAAGTACGCAGGAAAAAAAAAAATTATTTGAACCTAAAATTCACCTTTAAAAGGAAAGGCTAGGAGTGTATTTTTAGTTAACTATTGTGCTTATACATTCTGAGTCAAAACCACTAGGACTCATTGTTGTATTAGAGCCACACCTATTATCTCTGCTGAGTGCCATCCTAAATTAAATGTCACCTCTATTATTTTTTAAGTGTAATTACTGCAGAGAGCATAAAAAGCTAAAATGTGCCTGTGTGCACATGAAAACATCTACCTCCCTTTATTAACTGTGTTACTAAACCCCAGGCTACAAAAGCACTCAATGTGGGGCGCTGCCTACAGACCCAGGAGCTGGGTGTCTTCCATTTCTAGATCTATCTAGCCACCACCCATCCCCCTTCAATCTTGCTGTGGGCCCATAGTGTCTAACCAATATGGACTGCATGACGGCCTCCCTCACTTCCAGTTCAGAACATGGAAAGGACAGGCAGGAAAATGGATGGCAGAAGGTGGATGAAGTCTAGGGAATTGATTCCCTTGGTTCATTCTCTGATGGCCCACCTAAGAACGGTGGATGCCATGCTTTCTTCACAAAGCCACCCATCCCTGGAATGGAGGATCACTTTCTCCCTCCATATGACCAGGTCTAGAGAAAGAAACAGCTGTTGCCCTAGCCAGTTTGACTCAGTGGATAGAGTGTCGGTTCTGGGTTCGATGCCAGTCAAGAGCACATGCTTGGGTTGCAGGCTCATTCCCCAGTAGGGACTGCGCAGGAGGCAGCTGATCAATGATTCCCTCTCATCATTGACGTTTCTATCTTCTTTTGCTCTCACTTCCTCTCTGAAATTAATAAAAATATATGGAAAGAAGGAAGGAAGGAAGGAAGGAAGGAAGGAAGGAAGGAAGGAAGGAAGGAAGGAAGGAAGGAAGGAAGGAAAGGAGGAAGGAAGGAAGGAAGGAAGGAAGGAAGGAAGGAAGGAAGGAAGGAAGGAAGGAAAGAAGGAAGGAAGGAAGGAAGGAAGGAAGGAAGGAAGGAAGGAAGGAAGGAAGGAAGGAAAAACCCTCCAAGGATCTAATACATGCTCAAATGTGAAAGCCACTAATGTGACATACTATGGTTACATACGTGTTTTAATTTAAAGAACCCCGTTCGCCACTCTCCCAACCCCCACTCCACTGCAAAGGACTTTCCTCCCAGGCTAGTAGTTCTCAGACAGGAGTACATTGACACATCAGAATGATACACGAAGCTTGCTCAAAATCCCAATGCCCAGGCCCCATATTGGACTCACTCAACCCTCTCTTTTCTTGTCAGTATGTCAGGTCGTTGAGGTAACTATCTTCCTCAGAGCTCACAGCCCCCACAGGATGGATGCTCTTCCTTTGTGTTTCTTGTCTATTCGGTGTGGTTTCTGACCATTCGGAGCTGAGCGGTTTCTAAACTTGAATTTCTGGTTTATCGCAATAACTTTGTACAGTGACAGATGATTACTAGATATATTATGGTGATTACACTGTAAAGTATATAAATGTAGAATCACTATATTGCACACATGAATTATATTATTGTATGTGAACCATACTTTAATTTTTTTAAAGGAAATCACCACCAACAAAACAAAACAAAACAAAACAAAAACACATATATTCTTCCTGTTAAGACCAAGTAAAGGTAAAATATAATATCAAAGAAAATTAAAGTGAACTAAGGCTTTGCTACTAACTCAGTGTGGTCGGCAGACCAGCAGCACCTGGGAATCCCCAAACCCACTGGAGCCTACTGAATTAGAATTTTAACAAAACCCCCAGGTGATTCATAGGCTGGTTAACATTTGAGAAGCCCTGGTTTCAGAGATGGTGAGTCATAGAAAGTCAGTCGTAAAAACTTTAACCTTACTCAGAATTGAGTTTTTGGAGAGAAGAAGCAAGCCAAAAAATGCCTATCTGCTGAGAAAAGCTGGGTATTTGGGAAGATAAGAAGAAATTGGGTGCACAGGGAAAGAGCAAGTAGCCTGCATTCTTGAATGTTCTGTACCAAGATCCACCAGCCAGGGCCTACTTTCATTCTGCACCGCCCCCTGGTGGTCATTGCACATCACAGCAAGTGATCTAACTCCAGGTTGCTTCAACTCCTGAGGGGACACTTTGCATATTAGGCTTTTATATAGAGAGATAATCCTTGGAGGCACAGAGTAGGGCAAATATCACCACTTTCATTGATTTGACATGTGTTTTGTGTGTGTGTGTGTGTGTGTGTGTGTGTGTGTGTGTGTGTGTGTGTTTATTTCAGAGAGGAAGGGAGAGAGAGAGAGAAACATCAGTGATGAAAAAGAACCATTGATTGGCTGCCTCCTGCACACCCCCTACTTGGAATTGAGCCTGCAACCTGAGCATGTGCCCTTGGCCAGAATTGTACCTTTCAGTCTGCGGGCTGACAATATGTTCCACTGAGCCAAACCAGTCAAAATTAGGGCTGAGTTGACATACAGATACACTGAGGTTTAAACTCCTGTCCTCAATTTTCACTGAGGTGCACCAAATAAGTATTATAGTTATGTGAGAGTTCTTGCTGTATTTGCTTTAAATAATTGCTTTAAGTCTCATGTAGGGGTTTTCTTTTAGATTCAATGCTAGAGACAGACCATCACCCCTGAAAAACTTAAATGCCTCTTAATGACTGAGTCACCGTTCCCATTTTTAACTTTTTCCTTGACTCCCAAGATGCTGTGAATGAGAAAGGGGCTCTGTAATAAAGCTGACATGCTATCACAGTGCCACATGGTGACTCAGAGTAACCACACAGGATGGTCTGATCACAAATCCCTAACAGGGCAGGCCATGCTAGGTAGTCATGTCCAAGGCTTATAGCTTCCTTAACCAAAGACAATGTGTACTCTAAGTGAACCCTGCGCATTGTTTTTATGCATCTAGGAGAACATGCCTTTGCAATGTCAGAGTAATTTTTTTTTCTAGGGACCTCCATAGGCACTGGAGCGCAAAATCACCAGAACATGCAATCAAAGATCCCCTCATTGTTATGTGGTTCCCTGCATACCATTTCAATGTGTTGTAAATGTTCATTATAACTATCCTCTACCCACCAGTGTAAAAGAATTATGTGTCTATCATTTCATATTTTATCCAGTCCCAGAGGTGACCTTACTTGCTTTCTCCCACTTCCTTAATCTTCCACCAATGGATTTCATGTAACCCTCCTTATGTCTTCTCCTTTAATTCTAATATATAAAATAAACTGCAAAACTGTCCATCCCCAGAGCATTTTTTCAATCCATTGAGGTTTGGTTCAGGGCATGTCCTCAAAATTTTGGCTCAAATGAACTCTTATAAAAATATTTCTAAGAAAAAAAGAAAGAAAAAACAACAACAAAAGAAACAAAATAAAATAAAATCTATATATATAAAAGGCTAAGCAACCATCACATCTGAAATGACCAAACAGACAACTGAAGAGGCTATGTAGGGTGACCAGGCCAGCAGGGGGGTTAGTGAAGGGCAACCAAATGATTGAGCAGCAGGCTGCGTGGGGTGATCAGGCCAGCAGGGGAGGCAGTTGGGGGCAACCAGACTGGCAGTGGGGGCAGTAAGGGGTGACCAGATCAGCAGAGGGAGGCAGTAAGAGGTGAGCAGTTAGGTGATATTGGGCAGGCAGGCAGGTGAGCAGTTAGGAGCCAGTGGTACCAAATTGTGATTGAGCCTAAACTGGCAGTTGGACATCCCCCAAAGGGTCCCAGATTGGATAGGGTGCAGGCTGGGGTGAGGGGATGCCCCCCCGTGCACGAATTTCGTTCACCAGGCCTCTAGTAAAAACAGTAAAAAAAACATGCAAAACATTTCTATAGGCTGTATATTCTTTTGTGGACAGTGCTTAGAGTCAAACAAGAAGTCAACCACAACTGGTTCTTCTTGTTGGCATAATATTATTTTCCTTGACTATGAGCTCCTATTTCCATGTTACCATTTCATTCTATTTTTTTGTTTATTAATAAACTGCTCCAAGTATTTTTGTGGAGTACAGATAAATGTAATGTTTAGATAAATGTAACATTTAAATTGAGGAAATGAAGGCATCAATGAAAACTTATCTAAATTTACTGAGATATTTGCTGGCGGAGCTAGAACTAGAATTATAGTTTCCTAAATTCTAGTTCATGTGATTTCCTCTGTTCCACATAAGCTGAATGTCAAGTTTTTTCCCCTTAACCATGGAACATATTATATTTGCTCTTAAAAGCATGGTAATCCTGCAGATGTCGCTGCCCATGTTGTTTGAATTGAAAATGTGCTTTAGCTTTTGAAGGCCACTGACTCTGCCTTACTTGTTGTTTTCAAAGCAAGTTTCTTTGCAAAAGGATCCACCCAGTGTTGAGTGCCTGTAAAATGCCAGCAAATACAAAGAAAGATGAAGGTCCTATAGTTTTTGCTGCACTAAGTGGTTTTTTTTTAATGCAGGACATCATTTTTTTTTCTGTCAGCCTTTTCCCAAATGGATAG